ACTCGTCATGTAACTATTTCAGAAGCTATTGGTCTTGATTTTAATTCATTTATTCCACAAGCTGATATAACATCACAAGTACATTTTATTAGTAATATTCAAGCAGATTCTGAACCAAGTTTAGCTGGCCTTAAAAATGGAGATCGTATATTACAAATAAATGGAATTAATGTTACTAGTCTTGAACATGAAGACGTACGAAAATTAATGCAATCAAAGACTCTAATTGTTTTAACAGTAGCTAATGATCCAAAATATTTAGTATTGCTTGAAGAACTAATTCATGATATCGAAGAAAAACAACCAGGTATTTTAATCTAAATAAATTAGATCAATTAATCTATTTCGTTTTTTTTGTCATTAGAACTTCCAATAACATCAGGTGATGATGTTGATTCCGATCCTAATCAACGTCGTATATCTCGATTTGAGTTAAAAAGACAACCATCATTTGAACCTATGACATCATCAACATCAACAGCAAGTAAACCAACCAAATCATCTCGTTATGAAATATTTAATTTAACTCAACCTGATGAATTAAGTACTGAAGAACCATTAAAAGCTAAAATATGTCATTTACGTAAAAGTAAACAATATGATGGTTATGAATTAGTATTAAAATTTCAACAACATCTTCATATCGAGCTAATCTACGTGAAAATGATGTTATTTTGTTTGTTTGAAAAACAAACGTTGAAAAATTAACACATGAAGATATTTAAGTTATGATACGTGCAGCAACATTAGCATCAAATCAAGTTGATTTGACTGTTATATCCAAATTAGATATTCCAGAATATAAAACATTACAAGAAAAAGGTTTAATTGATTGTTCAATTATGGGATTGGAAAGATAATTTATTTATTTATTTATTTATTTGTCTATCATTTTCTAATTAATTAATGACATTTTTCTTACCGATATATCCTTGCAATGATTTTAAAAAGTATTTATTGAGTAAAAATGAATGTTCTAATTCAATTATAAAATAATCAATTCAATATTAAAAAGAAATGCTATCGAATTTATTATTATTTAGTTATTCGAACACAGATTTTAAGATTTCGAATAAATAGAATATATCAATGATTTGATTATCGTATTTTTTTCAAAAAAAAACACATTTGAGAAATATTTTCTATTATTGGAAATATGGTTTTATGAAATAATTGTTCTTATAAAATAAATATTCGTCCATTATTTGATAAATAAAATATATTTTATTAAAGACAAATTGCTCAAGATGTTTTATAAGTGAATAAACTGAGTAAAGTGATGATATAGTAAGAAGGAAGAATTATATAGATTGTTATTCTGTTTAATCTCATTATATTCTATTTATGAATAAGATTTTATCCTAAAAATTTTTAATCATTTTGGTTGTTTCTTTTATCAAATGACTTTCTATTTATTCTGAGTAAGATATAAATTCAGTTTGTTTGTCAGTACTTTTCTTTGTTGTTTATTTAATTTAAAAATGATAATTTGATTTGTTTGTAATAGTTTAGATTTATAATCAATATTTAAATAATCAATAAAACATTTTTTATATTATTTTTTCTATGAATATATAACACGTTAAGACGTTTGATGAACTTTCTCTGTTATTTAATGTCTCTTATAATGATTATATTCTACAGACTTCAACTGTTTTATATATCCAAGTTTCTAAATAACTATTATTTATTACTAATAAAATGTAAAATTATCGAATTATCGTTAAAAAAATCTTATATTTAATATTGTATGATATTTAGATAAAAGTTAATTGTGATTCTTTAGAAATAGATCAAATGATATATAACTCTGTTTTAATTTTGTTACATTATACCTATATTTATCTTGTGATAGACGGAATCTGTGTAAAACGTATAAAATGATCAAATTTTAATGTAATTCGAAATACCAATAAATAGATTGTGTAGTTTTTGAAAAGTATAATTGTTTTTCTTATTTTTCAGTATAATACACTACTGTCAAATATGCCGCTTAGCAATTTTCATATACTATATATGCGCAGATAGAAATGAAGAAACATAAAAACAGTTCTGTTCTATTTTATTCAAATGCGATGAAACAATAGAAATACTATAACATAAATTTTATATATGAAGACAAATTTTCATATTTTAAATTCAATGAAAATATAATAAATTCCATTTTCATTAGATAATAAGATCAGTTAATATTTTTGTTGAATAAAGTCAGATGAATATACAATAGATATACATGAAACATGAACACTTGGGTGTGTGTGTGTGGGAGAATGTTGATATAAAAAATTCAACGACCAAGTCTTTATTATCACACATTCTCAACTCGATAGTTTTACTAATTTTTATTACGTAGAAATATAAATGGTATATTGAATGTTTTTTGTTGTATAGATTGGCAAAAAATGTATCGACATCTAAAAAGAATGTGTGTACAAGTTAAATGATAAATTATAAGATTATTTATATTTTTAAAGAACTTTATTTGTTATTAATGGAAAAAAAATAGTTTAATGTGACAAAAAAGAATTATTTATTAAAAGTCATTTTATCATCAAAAACTTGTTTCAATCGAGATCAATAACAAATTTTTGTATTCGATCGTTGCCTGTATCGACAACATAAAGATTACCATGTCGATCAAATGATAAATCATATAGATAACTGATCTCCATGGGTTTGCTTTCATCTTTTTTTTCACCAACGACAGGAACACCTTCTAT